CTAGATCTATTACTGATGTTTGATTCCCTAAATATTCTTTGGGGGGAGAATATAAAAACATATGTCACATAATTAACATTTTTAGCCACTTTTAAAAAAATGAATTCACATTCTTAACCACTGAGTTAAGCCACCCACATTCTCAGACAACTTATTGGATATAAATATGGACTAATGTAAACATATGCTTAAATATTATATATCTAAATACTATTTCCAACAAGGTAAACAAGGCATTTAATGACTACAGGATCACCATGGCGACTCTTCCTGGCTTTTCTTTCTGTACCTAATTCCTTGTGGGTTCTGTTCACACAGATGCATGACAAGAATTCCCCTTTGCTTCTTATTGAATCAGCCCCATCACTAAGCTGATGCCATCTGGCATCCAGATATTAACCGCTGCCTTTGGCATGCTTGCTTTCCTCCTTCTTCCTTTTTTAAAATGGCTTACAACAAGGTTATTTATGGCAATATGTTTAGGGCCTGAATATTGTGTTGAAGCACAGAAAATGTTGTCCTAACCTTGCAGTAAAGCTGTTAACTAAAAACTGAATAAGATAACTCAAGATTTCTTAAGTGCATGATCAAGGCACAGAAGACCACTCGATTCTACCTTTGAGAGGATGGCACCGTTAAGGTTCTCTGCCTACTGTGTGGCAGGTTTGATGGAGGGATGGCTGGTTAAAATGGCTGTGTTGGTCATAGAGCGCCCAAAGGAATCACCTGTTGCTTGTTCTGAGCCATCCAAGCAGAACTGCTGGCAAGTGAAATAAATATGGGAGGAACCTCGTTACCCTAGGTACTCAATGAGTCCTCCCTTCCTTTTCCTGGGATAACGTCATTCGGAGCACAAAATCTGCAAAGAAAAAGGCAGAGCAACTAGAGAATCCAGGCCATACCTTTTCCTGCGTCTGTTAACAGATGACAATTTCTAGGGCATTGGATGGTCTGTTAGTGGCTTGAAAGAGTTAAAGAAATGAACAATTTCCTTCCTATTCCAAGTTAGATCAGACTTCCTAAGAAGGCTGGTTTATTAATTTCCTGTACAGCAACAGTAGACAAGCTGTCTTTACATGTCCTAGAGGTCACTATAGTATCATTTTTGCTTAAGAAAGTAAGCTGTCAAGTGGTCATAACGTGTACTTGGCTTGAGGTGGCTGTGAGGTTTATGCATATATCTCAACAAAGTCTGAGAGTACAAAAAAAGAAGATGAGAAATCAAGTCAGTAATTTCCTTTGCTTCTACCTGGTTAATGAATATAATTCTTTTACCACATTGTAGTTCTGATCCCTCATGAAATAAAAATAAAATTTTGAGGGTTTAAAAAATACCTAGAAAGGTGACTCCCGTATATTAGTCAGAGGAAGCAACCGACCAGTGGGGCTCAGCCTGACATTTAAATGACATGACCTATACTGTCATCATCTGGAGGCAAATGCAAAAACACAGAGTCCGAATAACAGCATTTTTCCATCAGTAATTTTTCCATCTCCCTCCTTCTAGTACTAG